GCTCTCTCGCTCTCTCTCTCTCTCTATCTCTCTGTACACACGATAGTACTTGCCTTTATGTACATCTGCGTTAGGTTCGACACGCCTTTATGTTTGTCGATGGCAAACTCTTCGTAGTACCTGTGCAGATAAACGATAACATAAGACACGTTACTGGTACGTTGTCAGGGATCCCACGCAGACGGGAATCGAGGGGTTAATATCAACTAGTCAGGGTAAGCGGCAGTGCATGCATAAGTGCACGGCAAGCACGCGTTCCCGCTCGCACATTACGCAGCTAGGAATGCACGGAATGCCATTAAGATTTCTCCTAGGCGCTGCACACGCCAATTTTCGCATCGTTGAGTCATTTACACAGTGACCCGCATCTCGCCTGCGAACATTTCGCACACCGAGAGTCGGTACGCAGGAACGTTTGAGCATACGACGCCCTGGGTCACGTGCGCGCGACGTGGGGGTCGAGCGATCGACGCGCGAGACCGCTCACCTTCCAACCATCTCCGCGTTCCGGTAAACGGGAATGTTGGGAGTCTTGCCGTCGTCGTAGGGACCGAAGTGGCAGTTGGGCGCGCCGAACCACTCGTGGAATCCGTGCTTCAGAGGCAGGTACTGTTCCTGGTGGCCGAGGTGCCTGCGATGTCGGAGAGTCGAATTTCAAATTTAGGACATGGGTAAGTGACGTCTTTGGTTTAACCAGAACCAAAGCAAAGGCTGTGGAACCTTTGCCACCATAACCCAACTACAGGCGTGGAACCTGTTGGATTTTTGGGAACCAAGGGAAAAGGCAGAGGCAGTGCCACAACAGTGTATATCTGGTAAACTGTGGGAATTAGGGCTATCATCTATGTTCATACTTACAATTCCAAGTAAAAATTACAAGTTCCATACAGCAATTAATTAACTCAGTTCGGACTACTGAAGTTTCAGACGTTTGAAGTTCGGACTACTGAAGTTTCAGACGTTTGAAGTTCGGACTACTTCGTTATACAGAAGTTTCAACTGAATTGCCTATTTACTGAGTACATACACGCGGAACCACAACCGTGCACAGATGCATTTGCAGACAACAATCCTACCACTTTCCGACGATCTTATTGTGGTATCCACCTTTCTGAAGCAGCTCTGGAAGCAGGAGTTCGAAATCCGCAATGCCTCCCACAATCTCCTGAGGTGTGTATGCTGTTGAGCCAAAGACAACACGTATGTAGAGGACTAGACGAATGAGACCAATTCTTAATATTGTAATGTATTGATCTGGATTTTATAGCCCGAATTTGCAACATCCACAATTGTACTCTATGGTTTGGCAACTGCAATTTCAGCTAACCATAAACGAAATAAAATCATATCAAAGCTAAGTGAAATAATCTGATATTGCAAACGCAAACGGAATCGGGAACTGAAACTGTAATGTTTGCATTATAACCAGAAATGCATCAATAATACTGATAAAAATAGCCACTTCTACTGTATATAATAGATTCAACTAACATTGTTACCGAAAGTAAAGGTTTAGCGTAATAATCTAATATGAGCTAAATCATGAATGGCAGACGTACAATTTCTTGCATGATCATTGGTTGTGTAGAAACCATTCCTGATGGGTAGTCGGCCAGTCAATAGAGCAGCTCTTGCTATAGTATTAATAAAGAAATTAATTTTAACACTTTAATACATGCACGCACACACACATACACGCACGCACGCACGCACGCACGCACGCACGCACGCTCGCACGCACACACACACAACACGCACGCTCGCACGCACACACAAACGCAACACGCCCGTGCACACGCACGCACACACACTTCCACACACTCATACACACATATTTACGTCCATATTAAAACTTCATTATCTCGAAAACTTTTTGCGAATGCGTATCACGCCCGATTGAATTCATTCAACAGGCAAAAGGAATTCTTCAATTCGTTCTCCGCATACATCTAAAATTTAATGTCTTTCAAGCACTATAGCATCTTTATATGGCTTACATGGGGAGCAGAGAGGGTTCGCTGTGTAGAAGTCTGTCAACGTTACGCCCTCTGCTGCCATTTGATCCAGGTTAGGAGTCTCCTTTGCCGGTTGACCGAGAACCCCCCACCCCCTAAATCTCCCCACCCCATCTGGCAAAGTTAACGATACAACAAACATATGAGATGACAAAAATGCACCATACACACTGACACATCACAAGTTTATGGACCTAGTTGAATAAATGTCCACATGTAGTCTATAAGCAACCTGTACCTATCAGTGTATTGAACATTACAGGGTTTGTCACTAGGGGTGACCGAGATTCTATATCATGCCTTAATTAATTCACATATAAGTGGTCACTTAGGGCAGGTATTAGACCGAAATAATTCTGTCCATATAACCTTTTTTATATGTGTTGTGTGCAGGGTGTAGGCGGAACCAGGCAGAGATGACTTAATTTAGTCCCGTGGCTCCGTACAAAAAAAACATATAAACCCCGGCTCTCAACCTAATCGATTTGGCGATTCAGAACGGGGCTTGCATTGAGAATTTCGTAAGATCGCATGCAAAAGGTCTTTGCTAGAGTTAGAATAGGAACTACCAAGTATACCATCCCACACCATGGGGGCGCAGGGATCCATAGCATAGCCATAGGTGGATATAGCTGGAGTACTATGTCTATGGCCAACTCGTTGCCAATGCCTGTGCGTCGCCACGAGCCTCAGGCAAGCAGGCAGATACAGACTGCTGACAGTCACACACAGACACACAACAAGACTGTCCGCTACACTGCCCCTGGTGGCAGTGCCGTAACCAGAGCGCAACTGAAGCACACAGACTAAGGATACGTCTCATAACGGATGCGTAGCTCTAGGTACTATCCACATTGACTGCCGCTGGGCGTCAGTCATGTAAGCAATGCTATAGAGGTGTACAACAGTAAGCTCTCCACAACTGTTTCACCGTGTGCCACTGATTTCGTCTCTAGAAAAGGCCTTTTGCTGGGCTTTTATTTTTTCCCGAAATTCGGCACTTCAGAGTGCAATAATTTTGCATCTATGCCGCAAGGTAGATGCTCGTGGACGTTCTAGAAAGCGATTAGAAGCTACAATTTACTTCGTTGTGTGTTTTTTTTGTTTTTTTTTTTGTTTTGTTTTCTAATGGTGCCCCATTCCAGCTAGTGGTGTACGGTAGCATGCGTCGCCGGTCAGCCCATTTGTTGTGTATGAAAACGGAACCTCCGACTACGTCTGGTAGAAATGCGCCCATCATAGAAGCTGGGGGCAAAAAGCTTGCTCGGAGCGGGACGCATAGAGGCACACGAATCTGTAAGTTATTTAACATGAATAAAGGTATCCCGTTTGTAAGCGCCGAGTAAAAGTGTGCGCTATTTTTAATTAATTTTTCTGCTTTCGATGCTGATTCAGGCCTGCCGCCTAGTGAGGCGCCCTCTACTGTTGTTCAACACCTATACTACTAGTCACTAGAGCTATAACGGATGATATTCGTGGCGTTAGTCTGGTGCCCGGAACATTCGCGTCATTCGCCACTGCACATTAGAACACGAGGCTCTTTTCACAGTGAAATTAAGCCAGTATTACTTATTACATATGTAACGGTACATCGTCCATGAGCACTTATTATTATATTATGCGAAGCACTCCATCCGTTGCGCCGACATAAGGAAGCACATAGAGACCACAATAATAACAACATTCAACTTCACGCACATCTTTTTCATCTCCATTTATTTACACCACGTGACCAAAAAACAAGTTCCACTAATATTTCCTGGGTCGACTCGGTATGTTGTAGGCAAAGGATACTAGAAGTGCCGTTTAAGGCACGCTACGCTTCACTCTACGAATCTTGGCTTGTTAGTAGTGGCCTATTCTTACGTACCGAGTCGTAACAATCTATTTCATGGACTATTTTACGACGATGCCGGGAGTGGCTAAGCGGAATAAACGTCCAGCGGCTATAGGACATCGGGGTGCTGACCGTAACTTGGTCGCCAGGTAGTTAGCCTTTTAGTCTTTATATTCTAGAGAACCGAGAGCTCTTTGCTTCTGTGACATTCTATAGTTCTCAATAGATGGCAGCACGAAACCGCAGACCAATAGGCCATGTTGGCAAGCAGGGTGATAGAGTTATGCATGAATGATCTTTTTCTTGGCAAAGATATGTATCCTAAGCACAGACAAACCGTTATTAACAGTTACTATAGCACCGAAAGCTCCTACAATTGTGAACAGAACAAGGTGTAAATGTGTTATGCATTTTGTTCGTCGGCGAAGAATACCGCTTACTGTCAGTCCATTAAAACTGTACTACGCACACGCGTGTGATTGCCACTACGGCAGGCGCCAGAACGGGCGGTTGACCGTATTTATCCGAACCCGACAAGCCAGTCGCGAGTGCGTAGTCTAATCCATATGTCTAAAACACACTCCAATCATCATAGGACAATCCAAGTTCAATACTTAGGGCGTAGCTACCATAACGCAAATACGCAGCTTGCCGGACACCGATCAATTTCACCAACCTTTTCTTTTTATTGCAGAGAGCGAGAAGAGAGCGGGGCGACGAGAGAAGTGAGAGAGAGAGCAGAGGGGGCAGAGAGCAGAGAGGAGAGGGAGAGAGCTGACGAGAGAGAGAGAGAGATGGCCAAAGCAGTGTACACACCCTTTTGCCCAGCGTTTTTCACAATTCCACAGCATAAGAGGTTTTTGCTTGCGTCGCCCTCCTATCACCAGCGGTTGCGGTCAACCCCAAAAGAAGAAAACTAAACTGAACGCGGCTAAAACAATCACCGTGAGTGTGATGCTGAATGGGCAATAGTGATGTGTTGCGTGAGGCTGATAGCGGTCTATGTCCCCAGGGTAACTGTCGGGGAACGTACCCTGGGTTACGGCCGTGCCGGGTTATACTGCCGAACAATACCGCTCGTAACTGATTAGATATGGGCAGCCGTACTCGCTATTCCCTACCGTAAAACCTGACTGTCCAGTTCCGCCCCACTACTGAATAGCTCGCAAAGATTTCGCGAACCATAACTACATGACAGACTGCGACAAGCCGGGTATGTATTACGACATCGCGGGCCTGAGGTCAGGACGGGTTACGGTTTGCGAGTAGGCGCAGAATAAGGTCCGGATGATTAGATAGTTACCAGCGGGTACGTTCCGCGCTTTACCGCGACATACCCCAGGTATGCTTTCCGCACCTACCCTGGGGGACATAGACCCTACTCAGCGTGCTGTGAGCACACACGCATCGACGGAAATGCGCTCGCCTCGCACGCACACCGGGAGGATGAGAGAGAAAGAGAGAGTTTAAGAATGTGCGTTAGTTCAACATGTCTTGATAATAAAACGAAAATTACATGATTAGTTATAGTGATCTTTAGTGATCACATCTTGTTGCTCATGAAGAGAATAGTTCGTCTAAAAAAATAATTGTCGTAGTCAGAATGAAGGCTGTACATTTACTCAAAAGGTCCTCAAATACCATCTCCTGCGACCTACATTTTCAAAATTTTTGTGGGGTAGACCCCCAGACCCCCTGCCTGTGTGCGTACACATCAATTTCACCCTAGCTATACGCCCCTGATAGTCATACTCATAGCATGATAGCCTGTAAAATATATATATATGCTCAATAATCGGTCTAGGATCCCTGCACATAAACTATGATCTTCATCTCCCTAACTCTAACAATGTATGTAACCCAAAGGGTACGTATAACCTGACTATACCAAGCTCATTAATTTTATCTTGCCCCATATGACATATATGGGATATTAGGATTTACCCGATTGGTTAGATACAATAATGTAACCCAACAAGAGTAGGGTTACATACTATCTCTCTAGGGTTACATATACTATCTCTCTAGGGTTACATAATACCCCTACTCTTGTTGGATTGCATTATTGTATCTAGTGTTTGCGTTGTAACCCTACTCTTGTTGGGTTACATTGTTGTATCTAGTGTTCGCGTTGTAACCCTACTCTTGTTGGGTTACATTATTGTATCTACCGATTGGTCTGCTACTCAGTTTATATGCGATTATCATGTAACTCTATGCCTATCCTTTTCGCAGGTAGAATCACAGGCATGGCAACTACCACTCGGTTACTGTCCATGTGTTACCGCGGTGGGCCCGGTCGCTTTCACCAACGCTACGGGAAATTGTCATCGCCACTGAGCATTGTGAGCAACGCTGATGTAGGCGGTCAGGCGCAGTATCTGGTAAGGCCAAAACAAAATATAGGTGTGGTTACGGTTTCCCGACCGACCCTATTTATTCCCAGCGACCCTAAACATTTCACGAAAAGAACTCGGGATGTCGAATTTGGGTGTCAAAGGTCAAGACGTGTCAATGGAGGGGAAAATTTGGAGGGGGTATAGGAGGAAATACGGAATTGCAGCACAAATCTCAACGGCTCGATCTACGCTCTTAATATTTGATGTATAGTGTGATGGGGAGGAAAACCATCACCAGCGCGAAATTGGATGTCACAGGTCAAAGGGCAGTGGGGGAAAGGTCAGATATCAGACATTTTCTGAGGACATGGTCTAA